CGCATTTTGAGCGGCACTTGTCTGCTCTGAGAGACGTACGGTTGGTGGCTCACAGGGGCAGAATGATGTTTGAGCGGGGCGAGAGCGCGGGTACTTCAACCTATATTCGGTCTCGACGTCATTCAGCCCATTTACATCGACGGAACTCCGTGGGCTCAAAACAGAGGTTTATGTACCGGGTCGCATGAGCGCAATGCGCGCGAAAGGCGCTGCCTCTTACATTGAAGCCCACCATATAGACGTCAAAAACGCGTCAGTACCACCACAAGTAACCCTGCAATTATTTTGGGATGATCCATGCAACGAGGCGAAGGTTAGGCGCGTGGAATTTTCGGATGAACACTGAGGAAGAAGTACAGATTCGGTTTACGCCACCAACGTGGAACAGTATCCGCTGACTGATGCGACAGGGTTTGTACTCCGAAATGAAGGTCATCCTGAGTTTCAACCCTGAAAAGGGAACGGAGAAGAGTTGATGACTGGTAAATCAAGGGCGACAACGAATGGCGAATTGGGATTGGATACCTGTGTTGCCCAAGTTGCCTTGATACGTAACGGTTAAACGGATACCTGCTGCAGAGTGACACGGTGATGGGTGTTCGAAAAGAATTGACATGTAATAACAAAAAGTACTGAAGTAGGACTGAGCTAGGTTAGGGTTAGGCACTCAAAAGGTCCAAAAAAAGCGGGAATCCCTTGACAGCACAAGCCAGTAGTGCAACGGCAAGGTCATCGCGTCCGTTTGTTGCAAGCAGAGCAAACGGACAAGGGCTGCAAAAATTAGATAACCAGAAATGGCGCCTGTGGCACCATAATAGTGGTTAAACTATTAAGAACAGATACTACACTTGATCTAAGCCAAAAGGCCAGAGTGGTAAAGAATCCGGCTGGTTCATCGCGGCTTTTATAGTGCCAGCGAAGGTCCGTGCGCGACGCGGCTGTCAAAACGCGTTTTGGACTGCCGGTGGTCCGTGCACTTGTCCGCACGTGCACGAGTTGGATTTCAGAATGAATGATTTCCTCCGTCATCCCGCGAAGAAAGTCTGACAGTCTCGTCTCACACGAGCAACTGATGAAAGCGCTCCGTGTGCGCCTAGTTTTGCCTGGATCGATCTTGCGGAATTCTTCCAGACAAAGGCAAATGCAATGGTGCTTCGCCGGGGAGAATGGGAGATCTCAAAGATCATGCAGGGAGGCGTTCTTTGTAACTTTCGAATATAATTGTACGCAAAGCAGAACACTGCACGCATCCGATCTTAGACTGGAATCCAGAGGAATTAGTTGGGAAGTAGGGTCGGGTAATTCAATTGGTTGAACTCGCCGCTTGGTTCAAACTTGGTTCAAACCCAGGTCAGCTCGAGGAGCAAAAAAAGTAGGAGCTCCAATCTTCTGATTATTTCTGTGTGCTACGGCGATCCCACAAATTTCGAGCTCCACTGAGCCTGGAGGATTATGGGGGAAAATCAACTTGGCCGCTGGGGGGACGGCCGTGGGAAACGTGATCGGCAACGAAGGGAGCCGGATAGCCGATCGCCTTTTGCTTTCCGCCATCCAGCTCGCCTCAGCGCTCACCTGGCTACTTACAGGAAAATCGACTGGGCCAACGTGAAGCCAGAAAAACGCTCGCAGGATGACTGCCATGCAAAGAGACTCCGCAAGGTCTCTCGGTGGTATCGGTGGCATCGCAGACGCGATTCAGCCCAAGTTGCCACCCGAATTAGAGCGCCATATATTCGAACTGGCCGCCCTTTCGCGCCCGGTATTGATCCCTTCCATGATGCGTGTGGCATGGCGTGTTAAGCAGTGGTATAGCGACCATTCGTTCAACGTTTTTAAATAATTGACCGTCTCTTTTAGGACAGAACCCTTGCTGTATCGCACCGTCGTCTTTAAAAAAAATGGATGGTCTCCCCGTTTTTAGTCCCGAGATATTCACTCAGATCGCCGAAACGAAGCCGCATCTCTTGGCCTCCGTGCGCAATGTAATGGCATTATGGGTTCCAAAAACGACGAAAGAAATCGTCAGGACATGTCCCCGCATAGAAAACCTCGTTCTGATGTCAGCTCACTACCGCTCGTCGGGCCATTTGCCGCCACCCGGGTTCGATAAACTGTCACTGAAGCGGCTGCACTGCAGCCTGGACGCGCTTTATGATCCCAGCTTGTTGACGACACTCGGCGCCGTTATTGCATTTAACACACTTGGAACTCTTCACTGACTTGTATTCCGATTCTCCGCCCGATGACCTTGCGCCTTGGACCGTGCTGGGCACCCTTTCAAGCCTCACCCATCTCGCGCTGAATGACCACAGCCATGGCAACCAACTACCCGTTTGTTTGCATCTTCTTGCGATCTGCGGGTGCGTATCCACCCTGATTCTCCTGGACCCCTCCCACTATGTGGGGCATGCAGAACTGGATCTTCTCTGCAATGACCCGCGCTTCGTCATGATGTCACGAATAAGCTGGACAAACGACTGGCTGCAGGGAATCCTCCGAGGCGTCGACGATTGGGCTCGTGCTGACTTGTTCATTGCGAAAAGGCTGGCGGGCGAGATCGGACGTGGGTTCTCTTTTGCGTATCACTTATTCGTCATCTGATTCTGGGTCCTCTAACCCTCCAGGTCGCACATTCTTCTTGGAGGACACTGGCTGACAGAGATCCGCGAGAATTGACGCCCTATATTGTCACGGGAGTAAAGTCTTGATTCCTCCCATCTGTGGGTACATGTACCTTCCTATTTTGGGCGAAGGAATGGATCGACCTGAACGGCACCGTTGATGATTCGGTCTTCGATGGGCAAACGACGTCAATATCTGCCGCGGGTTATATTCGATTCTTTCGGAGACCGGGACCTCAAAACCGCCGCACTGTTTGCAATCAATGACATCGGTACGTCCCTGTGAAAGAAATCTTCTGCATATGAGATGTGGCGTAGGATGTGTTTCATTTGTCTGTGCTCCACGAAGCCGCTCTTTCGCCGCCGGAACGGTTCTGTCAGGAAGCCAATATGCCGTATCAGGGTCGTAGAAAGCTCGCCGCTCTTCTTGAATTGACTGCAACACGGGCGGAACGCGTGCTTGTGAGCACATTTATTGTCGTGTTCCTGCAATCCTGGTCCCTATATGGGTTCTTAGTACGCGGTGGAGTCTGGGATTTACTGACACGGATCAAGGACAATATGCGTTCACGAACTAAATAGCTCCACAAACCAATATAACGTCCGGTGGGAATAATCACAACAGATGTTACAACACTGCTCGATTCGGGTCCGCTGAGTGGCATCTTGCTCCCGTAACATGTTCAACTCGACTCCACAGCTCCGCTTGTTCCTGTTCACACCATACGCGATGCTGCACGCTGGCCGGAAATATCTGCAAGCGAAGAGGATAAAAGCAGAGGTGTTTACCAGAGATTGTCACTCGAACACATCCCTCCTGTAGTTCAAGCTCCCTCTCAAACAAATATGTTTTCCAAGCTCTCCGTCGTTGTCGTCTCTGTTCTCATCGTACGCTGTGGTCCACTCGCATACCTTTTGTCGAACTAATCATTGTCCGTGCCTTCAGACCCTTGCTGCCGCCATGCCCGGAGGTTCTCCCCCTCCCCCGGTCACTCCCCCGACCTCTCCCCAGTGCTGCGACAGCGTCCAGTCTTCCTCCAGTAGCTCTGCTGTTGCCGCGGTAGCTGCACTTCTCGGCCTCGACCTCAGTGGCCTCGACGTGCCCATCGGCTTGAGCTGCTCGCCCATCACCGTCATCGGAAACAACTGGTACGTTCGATTTTTTCCGACATATTTATTGTGTGTCCTCGGACTTACCCTTCCTTGCAGCGGAGGCACCACTGTCAACTGTGACGCGCCCGAGGAGGAGTGGGGTGCGTAGAACATTCATTGTACCCTTCACAGTGAACTTACCACCTCACGACGCAGGTGGTCTCATCGCCATCAACTGCCTCCCGATCACCCTCTGATTATTCGGCGTGAAGATAGTGGTGTCGGTTGGAAAGGTTCTCGCGAGATGGACTTGCGTTTGGTTATGGCTTTCTGTACCTGCGTACGGTACCCTGATTTGTGGCTGGGAGAATTTGATTATTGTGATTCTCAATTACACCAAGACACAAGCCCGACCGTACAATTGCAATTCGCGGTTAAGCTGATACGTCCCGCCGTTTCTTGGCTAGCAACCCAGACAGTAAGCGGTGTAAGAGAGAGCAAGAACCTGTGGTGAATGAATGATTCACAGCCGCATCACATACGAGTTCTATGTATTTTGCGGAAATTCCTGGTTCGGATCCAGGCTCACGTACTTAGGCTCGTTATTTTTGCTTCCTTCCTTTCTTCCTTTCGTTGGGGGATATCGAACTTCTGGCACCCTTAACCAACCAGGATGTGTGCGCCAATGGATATAATATTCAACCAGCCTGGCCAAGGAAGTATGGTGTCTGTTTTTTATATCGAAATTGGGGTCACAGTTCAGGAAGCAATCCTCAACTAGCGTTCCGAACTAGGAGATTGCACAGTTGTGTCCGTGGTTCGTATGTACCGGATTCATTTTCTCCCCCTTATGTCCAGGCAAATCAATATTACCTGTTTGTGTTAACTCCAGACTGCTTACCGTAGATACGAGCTAAAATGTGACGAAGCAGAAGACCCGGTGGTTAAAGACATCACTCATATCCCATGTTAGGGCCTAGGAAGATCACAAAGTTGCGGGCGTGCCTGGTTCGAGTTCAGCCTGGCCATGGGTAATTAGTCGTGTTCGAAAGAATTTTTGTATGATTTATGACTCCTCCACCTCCTGAATTGTTGACTCGCTCAGCCGGATGACAGCTTTGCTGGCGAGTGCTGTTGGAATCCCGGTCAGTGTTGGACCGTCTTAATCGTGTATTGCAACTTGGCGTGGTAAAAGTCCGAGAATGGAAGTTGGGCATGGATGACTCACTGTGCTTCAGCCCTGATTGTATTCCAGATACGATTAGTGGCCAGACACGAGCTAGAGAAGACTCAGTAGTGAAAATATCACGCCCGAATCCGCTATTGCAATTGCAACGTATGCGACATATTCGCGGGCGATCCTGGTTCGAATCCAGGCTGGGTCGTGGGTCTCGTCTTGGCTGCCTTTTTGCGCAGTCGAATGAAGTGTGAGGACAGATAATTACACTGAGCGTACGTCTCCGCAGAAGACGCAGTGACAAAAAAATCACACCCGCTCACATTAGTGTGATATTCAAGGCACAACAGAGTCCATTGTTGCGGGAGCTCCTGGTTCGAATCCAGGCTGGGTCTTCAGTCGTGTAGATGGAATTTTTTTGTCCCGCGCGTCTTTTCAGAAGGCGGGGAGATTTCCATTGCACGGCCTTTCACTTAAGGGTGAATGCGATGAAAGTGACACGGGCACGAGTACGGGTTGGAAACAGGATGGATAAGACCCAGTAGCGAAGTGCATCGCGCCCGCAAAGCTTATGTCTGTTAGATAGTATCATACTTTCGCGGGAATGAATCCTGGTTCGAATCCAGGCTGGGTCGTGGGCGCTCGTTCAAACCTCGTTTTTATTGTGTCGTCGAATTCGAGATGAAGCTGAATATATATACGAGCTCGAGAGTGGATAAGACTCAGTAGTGAGAAAAATCGCAGCCGCGCCTGCTGCACTGCGAGAATAGCGAAAGCGAGGTAATCAAGGTTGGGGCATGATTGACGTAGCGCCGGCTGTCTCTTTACGAAATTGGATAGACTCGACATGGGCTCATACAAGCCCATGTCAGAGTGATAAGTAAGACCTAGCGGCGCAATATCTCGAACACTGTTGAACGGGATCACCTTCGACATATTCGCGCGGGAGTTCCTGGTTCGAATCCAGGCCAGGTTTTGTATTTGTCTTCCTGCTTTTTTAGCGATTCCCAGAATTCCAGCTGTATTTTTAGTCTTTCATTATACTTTCAGCTCTCCGAATGCGCTGAATTATCTTACAAATAGATATTCAACACCGCGCAGAACCGTGGGAACAGGATAACAAAGCCGCCAGATGCCGAGTGGCTGTGCTTCTCGTGAGCCGAGCAACCGACTTGCTCTTCCTTTGCCTTTTGCCTTTTGCCGCTCGTCCGTCTTGCAGTTGGTTTGACGCCTTGAGATCGGTCCTGGGCTTGTGAAACCGGTCAGTACGGTAGCTGCATCCTCCAGGAAACCAAGATGACGAGTTCTGGCAGGGAATCGGAATCCGGATTTTCTTGACGCGCCAACGTCAACGACGCGGACGGGACTGGGTGGCATTGGTCGAGGAAACGTGAGCATTAACATGGCTGGAGGTTTCTAGATCCGGGCTGACTTTCATGGTGTGTAGGGTGTATCTGATTACTTACGCGGCGTCTTTACTCGGCAGGCTTCCTTACCCGGTACGCGGTACATTTCCAAATTTTTGGGAGGATGACCACATGCTGTCTTCATAGGCTTGGATTCTGGCAACGACACGTACGGCTCTGATACCTGACAACAAGCGAAGGGTCTGTTGGTGAGTTCAAGAAGTGGAGACGCGTCGATAAATGATCCCTTTTCTCCCAGTGGGAGGTATTATAAGCGTAAGCCACGTCTCCGTAGGTCCCCTGACTTGATAGACCCTGATGCGCTGCAGCACTTTCAGACAAAGGACATAAACTCAGGCCCGCGGAGGATAAGCACCGATTATTTTTGGTATGATTTCTCAGGAGATGTGGATGGATTGACATTAACTGATACCGGTGCCAGTTTGAATATCTGACTCGCTTTCTCAGGTCCACATTAACGCCCATCACCGCGCCGAATAACTGCACTCAAGGCATCTGTCTGGATTGAGCGCTTCAGAGCCATTCAATTGAAAGAACTGCCACCCAAAGAAGTACGCGCCGAGGTTTCAAGAGTCCAACAGACAGGCTCAGTCACGGCACGCCGCCACGGACGATACAGCTCCATCCTTGCCCGCGTATTCAACCTCTCGATCAACTTCTGGCAGAGTGTCTAGAGCAGCTCCGATCGCGCCTGATACCGATCGTCTCAACTTCCGCCAAATTCTCACTCATAAAAACACTCGTCTGAACCTGAGTAATACTTGCCCTCCTCGTCTCGCCCTGCAAGACGCACTTCGCGCGCGCACGGACCCCGACGGGCTAAACAAATCGACATCTGCGCATCGGATAATTGAATCCCCACGCGTCGCGTCGGTCGTCAAGGCGATCACACCCACAGGCATCAGAGACAGTGATCTCCCTTTTCACACCCTTTTCTTCGACCCACCGACAGCGGCGCTCGTCTCGCATCCCGACGCGTCGGTGGACTTGTGTATCTGGGTCGGCGAGTTACCGACAAACGCCGGATAACGGGATAACGTGAAGAAAAGGGAAGAATGCTGCGCCGGCAACGCTCGCTCGCGGCGCTGCTCACGGGCACGGCGTCTGCGCCGTCGTCCGCGCTCAACTCCCCCACCGACGACGTTGTCCCGCCCATGCCCAATTCCGGCGTCTACTCGAAGGCTGTGAATGGGCACGGACACGAAAACGCGAAAGGCGGGGGCCTCATCCGGCGCGTGTCGAATATCTTTCGGTCTAGTGCAAGTGGGAATGCGAGTGCGAGTGCGAGGGAGAAGAACGGTGCATCCTTCCCTCTTTCTCTCATAAATAATTGGAAGCTGACGCAAATTTGGAGCAGAGGCAGCACACCGCGCCGCCGCGTCTAAATCCACGCCCGACGTGCGCCTCGCCCCCGTCTCCAGCACCAGCCCCACGTCTAGCCGCCCCAGCGGCGCCGGCGGCGGGGGCGCGAAGCTCGTGAAACGCCCGTCCGTCAAGTACGCGAAAGAGAAGGAAAGAGAAAGGGAGAAGGAGAAGGCCGCGCGCGCGGGTTTCTCGTCCTCTTCCGCGTCTACATCTACGCCATCGACATCCGGGGCAGGGCTCATGCGCAGCCGCACGAAATCCATATCCATGTCGCTCAAGGGCCTCGCCCGCACCACCCGCTCTCCCCACGGCATCTCCTCCGCCTCCCCGCACGGCATCTCCAATTCCTCGTCCTCGCACGGCCACGCTTCGCGCGCGGGCTCGGCGCTCTCCTACTCGAAATCCTACTCCGCCACCTCGCATTCGAATTCGCGCTCGTCGCGGGCGAATTCGACCTCGTCGAGCACCGAGGGCACGGAGGAGGAGGCGGACATTCGGCGGCCGAGTGGGTTGGGGGAGGCGGCGCCATCGTTGCTTTTGCCCAACGAGGACGGCGAGGGATATCAAGATGGGGAAGGGGACGCAGAAGGAGATGGGGAGAGGACGCCGACGCCTGGGGTGCCGGTGTCGTTTGCGCAGAAGCAGAAGCAGCAGCGGGGGACAGGGTACGGGTCGGACTCGGCGTACGCGTCGTCGCTGTCTGCGTCAGAGGACTACGGGACCACGCACGCATACGAGGACGACGACGACATCCGGCAGCCGGCGGGTCTAGGGAAGGCGGCGTCCTCTCTGTCCTTGCCTTTGGATTCACTGGCCTCGTCGTCCTCCACCGGCGAAGGGGGAGCACAAGAACGAGAACGCGCGGAGAGGGAAGCACGAGAAAAAGCAAAAGCGCGGGACGCCCGCCGACGCACGCTCTCGACGCCGACGAAGCACAAGCTGAGCGTGCTGCACGAGCTACTGGGGCTCCCGCCGCCTGTAGCTTTACCCTCTTCCTCCTCACCTTCACCTTCTCAATCTTTACCCTCTCATTCTTCATCCCTGCGCTCCTCACCATCGCATTCTCCCTCTCTGCATTCACATTCCCCGTCCCCGCGCGCACGACACACCCCGCCCCCGCTGCCCTCCCCACCCTCATCCTCATCCTCACCCGCACACATCCCGCCCGCGGTATGGCGCCTCGTCTTCGCCCATTTGCCCCTCGCGGACGCGGCGCGCGCGACGCGGGTGTGTCGCGTGCTGGGCGAGGTGGGACGGGGGAGGGTGTATGGGCGCGTTGATCTGCGCGCGTTTTCCACTACGGCTGCTTCTGCGTCTGCGTTTTCGGCGCCGGAGGCGGGTGCGGGTGCGGTGGAAGGGACGGAAGCAGGGAGAGGCGCCGAGCAAGGGGAACAAGGAGCAGAGGAGGAAGACGACGCGATCCGCCTCGGCGTCGCTGGTGCACCCCCTGACGCCACGGTACGGCGGAGGAGAACCGGCCTTGCCCGCGCGCTGCGTACGCCGCACCTGGCGGCGCGCGTGGAGAGCGTTGTGTGTGCGGGGTGGCCGCCGTGGGTGTTCGGCGTAGAGGGTGGTGAGGGTGGGGCTAACGAGGGATGGGAGGTGCGTTTGTTTGTTTCCTTTCTTTTGCATGCGAACTCCGACCTGCGATTTCCATTGTTATTTTGCGTGTGGTATTGTACCGCTTGAGATGCTTCACCGTCCCGGTTTTATGCGTCATATTCCTGCATATCTACTTTCCCTTGCTTCCTTATCGCTCTCCTCCCCGATCTCAATCTAACAACCTGCATTTCCCACAGATCCACCTCCCCGCTTTGCGCAGCCTCACCATATTCCCGGCTGCTGCAGAGGACTACGCACCACCGCTACCTGCTTCTCGACAAAACGGCGACGGCCCCGCATCAACGCACCGTCCGCGCATAGACACCTCCAGCTCTACCTCACAAACCCGCGGCACGGACCTCGATATAGCCATTGATGCCCCCGCGCTCCTCACGTTCCTGCGCGCGCACCCGACGCTCGAGCGGCTCGCGGTCGTAGGCTGCGCCGACGTCGACGCGGAGCCGGAGCTTTCCCTCTCCGGCGAGCCGGGGAAAGGCACGGAGAACAACAAAGCAAATGGAGAGGTGGAGACACACCCCTTCCTCCCGCACCTCACACACCTGCACGCCCCGCCCAGCCTCTCCGTGCGCCTCCTCGAGCGCATCGCGCGCGCGCCGTTCGCTCCGCCCCTCCCCCCACCGCCCCCGGCACTGACTACGACGAATTCAGCCTCGAGCGCGACGTCGATCGCGGACGAGCTGGGCAGGACTGCTGTCGTGGCGGGGACGAGTGCGCGCGCGAGCCCTGCTCCAAGTGCCGGGGAAGCAGCCACGAAGCTGTCGGCGGCGTCGTTGGCGCTGCTGGCGCCGGACCCGAAGCGCTCGATGACGGCGAGGTTGCCTGGGTGGCATCGTGGGCGGAGCCGGGAGCGGGAGGCGAAGCCGACACAGAATGCACATGCGGGAGCGGGGGGCGACGCTCCGCCGCCGAGTATCAACGGTATGCAGCCCGTGAAGCCGCGCAATGACGGTCTGCAGCGTGCGCAGACGGTCGGTGCAAGCATGAACGCAGAGCGCGCGCTCGAGGAGGCATGGGCGCAGCGTGAGGCTCGGAAGTCACGACCGGCCTTCCTCGACGCAGACTCGGACGCCGACACCGACTCGGTGGCAGACGGCGAGGCAGAGGTGGAGGAGTGGGAGGCGCAAAAGGTCGAGAAGGTCGAGCTCCGGCGCGTGGGGAGCGTCGGGCGCGCGGCGCGGGCGGTGTATGTGCAGGCGCGACCCGCGGGTGCGTCGCGCTCG